AAGCAATCGCCTCGTGCATGGTTTGATAGGTTTACTCAAGTTATGAAAAAGATTGGGTATTATCAGAGTCATTCTGATCATACATTGTTCGTTAAACAGAGACAGAAAAAAGTGACAGCCTTAATCATCTATGTAGATGACATGATTATTACTGGAGATGATTGTGATGAGATTTCAAGATTACAAAAGAATCTTGCGGCTGAGTTTGAAATGAAGAACCTGGGGGATTTGAAATATTTTCTTGGAGTTGAAGTTGCTCGATCTTCGAAAGGTATTTTCTTGTCACAACGTAAGTATGTTTTGGATTTGCTAAAAGAAACTGGTATGCTGGGATGCAAGCCAGTAGATACACCTATTGTTGAAAAACATCATCTATGTGTGGATCCGAATCAGAAATCAGTTGATAAGGGGAGATATCAGAGACTTGTAGGGAGACTAATTTATTTGGCTCATACACGGCCTGATATTGCCTATGCAGTAAGTGTAGTAAGTCAATTTATGCATTCACCAAGTCTAGATCATATGGCTGCTGTTATGCGTATCTTAGCATATTTAAAGTCTGCACCTGGGAAAGGAGTTCTATATCGGAAGTATGGACATTTGAGAATTGAGGGGTTCACAGATGCTGATTGGGCAGGGAGTGTAGGTGACAGACGGTCTACTTCGGGATACTTTACTTTTGTAGGAGGAAATTTGGTTACATGGAGAAGTAAAAAACAGAAGGTAGTATCAAGATCCTCGGCTGAGGCCGAGTATCAAGGGATGGCTCACGGCATTTGTGAGATTCTCTGGCTTCGAAAGCTTCTTGAGGGGCTTGGGTTCAAGCCAAAGGAAACCATGAGACTATACTGTGATAATAAGTCAGCAAGAGATATAGCTGATAATCCGGTACAGCATGATAGGACAAAACATGTGGAAGTTGATCGACATTTTATTAAAGAGAAGCTTGAAAGGAAGATTGTGTCAATACCTTTTGTGAAGTCAGAGGAGCAACTTGCAGACGTTCTAACTCATGCAGTATGTAGTCAAAGGTTTGATGACTCGCTTGTCAAGTTGGGCATGTGTGATATCTATGCACCAACTTGAGGGGGAGTGTTAGCGTGAGTCAATATTAGGAAAAATAGGGAATGTTAATAATAGGAGTCCTTTATTAAGTAGGTTTGTGTATATGTTTTTTGTTTCCTTGTAAAACTATGATAGCACATGTATATATTTCTAAACAAGTAATAGAAGAATTAATTCCCATAAAAGTTCTATTGATTCGATGTGAGTTTGATGTTAATCAGCCATTGAAATACCACAAATTTTGGTTGTAATGTTTGTTGTGAAGCTTCTGCAGGATATATTTAAGTTTAATTCGAACTGGATTAGAAAGTGGCTGATAAACTCGTTAGGCACTGGAAGATTCTCAGATGAGATCATGTGGGGGAAGGCAGGAATGTATATCATTTTCTTTGTGCCTCTTTCTTTATCTATTATTTATTAACTAACAGTTTTCTAATCTCATTTGCTGGTGACGACAACAAGCAAAGACAAGGGCGAGGCAGGTGTCATCAAGCGAGTCATTCACTCTCAGAATTGTGTCATCGTGGAAGGCAAAAATCTGGTATTAGTCTAGCCCTATTATTTGTAATTTGGTATACTGTTCTGGTTTATCTGATTTTGTCTTGCAGTTCTTTGAGCAACTTTATATATTGTTTCATTCAATATTATAGCATTTTATTTCTTGAGAAAACTTGTTACAAATTTGTGTTAGAATCTGGTATTTGTGTATAAATTTTATGATAGTTTTACTAAGCTCAGAGGAAAAAGAAAACGGAAATGATATTGGTAAAAATTCAAAGATCACAGAGCACAAGTCATGCTCATCGTGCATTTCATTCCATTCATTCACAACAGTACAAAATAGTAACTAGCCTACAGAGAGAAGGAGTGAGCCTATGAGCCCATCCAATGGTCTACAAGCAATGCCCTATAAGACTTTGTCACTTGCTCACATCTAAGCCTAAGAGCCAAAATACCAATCTTAACCCTTAATCTCTAACAAACTTTTGCCACATCAACACCACTCTATTAAAGATTAATTAATCAATTTAGACCTTAACAGCCAACACTCCCTTCTAAGGTCTTAACTGAAATCACTCCTAGCTTCCTCAAGCAATACAACTTGTCCTTTCCCAAAGGCTTGGTGAAAATGTCTGAGTCAAATGGCTTGTGTTATGGCCTAAGATGCACTCATGTATTCAGCCTCAACTGTGGAAAGTGCCACACTTTGTTGTTTTATAGATGCGCAAGAGAATGCTCCATTGCCCAAAATGAAAGTATAACCAAAACTGGTATCATCTTCATTCCCACTTTAGTCACTGTCACAAAAACCAATGAGCAGTGCAGAATCCCTTTTCTTATAATTAATTCCATAGTCAAAGGTACCTTGAGTATACCTCATAACCCTATTTATAGTGCCAAGATGTTTGGTTGTAGGACAATGCATGAACTTTGCAAGCATATAAGATGAGAACATAATATCAGGTCTTGTTGCAATCAAATACAAGACGCTATTGCCAACAATTTTTCTATACAATTCATCTTCAGTTGCTTCATTGCCATCATCCTTCTTAGCTTATCAATAGGAGCTAAAGGAATTGAACTGGCTTACAGGTCTTCAGTCCAGATTTCTCAAGCAAACTCAATGCATATTTCTTCTGATGAATAGTCATGCTCTACCATTTGCCCTACATTAAGCAAGTTTTCATCTAACCCAGGCACTATCATAACCTCAGGAATGTATCTATTACCCATCTTGGTTTCTATAATCAAGGTTCCCTTGCCAATTGACTCCAAAAGATCATCAGTGCCCATCTTCACTTTGCATTTCACACTCCTATTAATGTTAATTATGAGTGATTCACTGTTAGTCATGTGGTTGCTACAACCACTATCTAGATACCAAATCTCATAGTTCACTTGAACATAAGCTTTATGGCATGCATAAAACATCATTGCAGTGTCACGCACCTAATTGGCATAATTTGCCATTTGACCCGTCTTTGGCTTATGACAATTTCTCATCAAGTGCCTAAACTTACTACAATTATGGCACTTCACTTTTCCCTTGAATCAGCACTCCACATGAGTTGCTCCTCTAGATAGGCATCATGCTCACCATCATCTTCTTCATCATCAATAGACAAAGATTTAAACTACTTCTTCTTCAATTTAGCCTTCTGTTTGGGCCTAAAATAACACGGCCGGGCCTAGAATTGTTCTCGGTCCAAAAAGAAATATCGAGAATATTCTTTGCCATGGGCTGAGTCCAGTAGAGTTTGGCCGAACCCTATTAGAAGATGGTTTTTCTTGGATAAGGGTGAAATGGTCAAATCCTAGTGCAATAAGGATTCTTCAGAAGTTAAGGATGCTTTGAATCATAAAAGATGCCGAGAATCAAGGGATTGAATCTGAGTGATTAAAGAGTTCAGTTCAGAATCCCATGAGAGTTAGGATTAGTCGAAACCTAATCAGATTAGGTTGAGGATTTCTAGTCCAAGTGAAATTTTACCTCGACCATGAGGGAAATTACTACTATAAATAGAGAGATGAGTGCATCATTTAAAGCATATCCAATTCAACACACAACTGCCTTGCGCAAACCTCTCAAACATCTTGATATTTTTATTTTCTTTTTCCTTGCCAATACATCTTCAGTTTGGATAAACAACAATGTGGAGGAAACCGGCAACATCTTCAGTTTGGATAAACAGCACTGGAGCCGTAGAATCAGCTGACCAATAAGCACTTTTAGTTTGGATAAACAGCATTGCTTCGAGACCGACTGGTTATCTATCCAAGTCTCGGTCAACGAGTGTTTCTAAGTCCTTGTTGGAAGAGGTTATCTCATCAGCCTTCTCAGCGAAGTGAGGAATTACCAATCTCTGCACGTTGAGAGTCGAGTTTATTTTATGATTGGATATTCGCAGATACATTTTAGAGTTCGGCATTCAGACGACTGAACCACATTTACAATCAAGACACTTATCTCTTTTGAATATTTGTGTCTATACAATCTAGTACCAGTTCGGCATACTTATATTTGCACAAATATAATTATTGAGACCAAACCCGATGCTGATGATTTGTGAACTGCGAAGAAACTAGTAGCTTTGTCTTCAGGCTCTATAACCCAAAGGTTGAGATGAGTTCCTTCCTCGGCTGCCATCACAAGACGCAGAAGTCAGCAGCGCACCCAATACCACATCAACATACATTTTACTCCCTGGCCAAACTCGATAACTGAATGACGTAGTTAGCTTCTTAATTACTCTGCATGCGCATCACGTAGACTAGGTAGTTTTTAGGGTCAACACCTTATCTTTCTTCTTCTATGATTCTGGGATCACTATCCCTTTGTCGACAAGTTTCCAAGTCCTATATGATTTGAAAATTGTGACCATCCTGGCTTTCCAGAACTCGAACTCGATACCATCAAATACAAGAGCTCACAATTCACCATCTCAAGATGTAGCCATTTCAAACTGAATCGATTCAAATCCAAGAGTTTTCTCGTTGGATTTCTCTCAAATTTTTCATAGAAATCAACGGCCAGTTGATACTTGAACTAAGCTCTCGATACCATGTTAGAATATGGTACTTGTGTATGAATTTTATGATAGTTTTACTGAGCTCAGAAGAATAAGAAAATGAAAATGATGATGGTAAGAATCCAAAGATCACAGAGCACAAGTTATGCTCATCCAACGGTGTACGAGCAATGCCCTATAAAACTTTGCCACTTGCTCACATCTGAGCCTACGATCTAATAGACCAATCTCAACCCTTAATCTCTAACAAACTCTTGCCACATCAACACTACTCTAATTAAAGATTAATTAATCATTTTAGACCTTAACAACCAATTCTATTCTGGTTACAACAATCTGATTGAGATAGTAGATGGTCTCTATGATTATCACGACAAAAATGTTCGATAACGTTTTTCGGCTTATGCCTTTTTCTCACGCTTACCATTTAGCAAATGGAATTGACCAGTGTAATGTGGTTGATAGTCTGTAGAGAGTGTGCTTTTTTTTTTTTTTTTTTTTTTGAGCAAACGATATTATCTATATTAAGGGAAGGAGGTGGACTAAGTCTCACAATGGACTAGCCAGACAAGATGCTTATTTACTAAAAATATCTTTTACAGTTGGAAGCTCTTCTAATGAATTATGTGGATTTTGGTTGTTGCTGAACAATTACTCTATTATTGTAGGTAAAGAAACATATCAAGCATGGCAAGGTCATGAAGGTGGGATTTTCACTGTTGAATCGTCTCTCCATGCCTCAAATGTGCAAGTTGTTGATCCAGTAATAGGGTACGGATGAACTCATCTTAAATTTTGACCCTCTTTTGACAATTCATGGTTTCGCCACTGATTGGAATAATGATAAACAAGTTAAATACTGGATTATATATGAGTCATATGCTTGTTTGTTGATTGGTGCGTTTAGGCTTCATATATATTTGAAGGACTCTTGACCTAACTTCATTGGAAATCTTACTTAGAATATATATCTTAGAGTGAAATTTTGCTAACCTTTTTTGTCCTAATGTGGAATATATTTGTAGGAGTCTTGAATATTGTACTTATAATTTTCTATTTGTGATACATCACATGAATCGCAAACATAGTTTGCAAAATTGGTCTACATACCTATATCATGCATGACAGACTCTCCATTGATCCCTTCATTAGCTGCAGACTTAAAACTAATAGAACTAACTCGAGCAAGACAGAGGAAGGAAAAAAAAAAAAAAAAAAAAAAAAAAACAAGGCGAATAGGTATAAATTCTAGATCCATAAGGGCAAAATATAAATATGTATAATTAATGAACAAAATATACAGTACAAATGAGTTTGAATTAGCACCAACTACCACGGCTACATGGCTTCCAAACTTGTTCCTAATCATCATACAACAACAACACCAACACCAACACCAACGTTGATTGCTACTTCCGCTGGGTTTCGCATTCCTGCTTCAATACTTTAGTCCGTTTCGACAATTTATCCACCGTTATATCACACGTCACATGAAATTTCACGCTTCTACTTTTCAACGTCCCAATTCTCAACCTCGCCGAAATGTTCATGTTGAGGGATAAACTAACCTGCACTTTCTTCGTGCTGCTGTTGCTCTCACTAACTCCCAAGCTTTTCTTAATCTCTTTAGGCAAAATAACGTTTGCACTGTGGACGACGATAGAAACCTCTTTTGATTTGCCCGTCCCTTGCGTAAAAGATGGGTATTTTCCTTCAGCTATTGTTTTTTGCTTGAAATGAAGGCTAGTACCACCACTATTGTACATAATTGCCACTCTCGAATTCAGATTTCGAACCCTCAATGTCAAGCTGTAGGCCAGCCGTCCATTACTCTTGCTATGTACAACAACACGTTCTACACTGAATTTGGGATTTTCGGACTTGGCGAACATAACAGAAAAAATCGTTATGAACATGACAACAAGGAGGACAATGAAAGCCAAGATGCCAATGCAGTAAAGGTTGCAAAATAACGACCTTTTTCTTTTGCGGGACGGGTCCTGGTGGCGTTCGACAATGTAGGCGTTTTCGGGCGGGGGCACGTGGTAAATTTGGTCCTTGGGGACTTGGATAACGTACGTACCTGAGCGGAAGATGGCGACGGAAGGATTTTGGGGTTGGGAGATGACCAACTGTCGGGATGTCGACGGGGGTAGTGTTGGAGGTGGGAATTGGAGGTATTCGGGAATTGCAAGGATAGAAGGAGGGGATTGGTTTTTGTTGATGGGGAAATCAGGTGGGGATCGCTCCGCCATGGGAAGATGGGGAGCGGTGGGGAGGAGATGGAAGGTGGTGTGTAAGCGCAATTGGAGAAGAAGGGGACGTGGATTGCATGGGACAAGTGGGAGGCTGTGAGGTGGAAGAGAAGCAAACTAAATAGGGGTTTGCAATTTGCATGCAAAAGTGAGGTTTTTGTCCAAATTAAGGCTATTATTAGAGGTCGTTTACAAGGTCAATTTACATCTCCTAATACTCGCTTAAGGATTATTCATGACGATTTCTGGCTCTCCCTAAATAAGGAAATACGAGCATCTGGTAGATTTTACTCTAATCATCACTTGCTTAGCAAAACCTTAGTCTTTATGAGTAACTTTTTATTCTTTGTCAATTTAACCGTAAACTAGTAAGTTCAACTACAAACGCCTAATTCACAAAAGAAAATACCTGGCTCAGGTCATGACATGAAGAGCTCTTGAGTATACCACAAGGGAATACTATCCATTCACTAATCACACATAACTAATTGATACATTTGTCTTAGTCTTAAACTTGTACATCGTCACATGCTATTGTAAATTTTGCTTGTTAAATTTTGAGTTGGCATCAAGCCCTTAGGGTTTCAGCTATCTCATGCTCTCTCATAAGTCCCACTGATCATATTTGTCTCTCAAAGGAAAAAAAGAAGCTCCATAACCTACTTTACTGTCCACCATAACCATGTGACTGATCTAGCTAGCACAATCAAATTCCTCATGCATCATCATTAGTTTATCAGTATGAATACTCTTAAAGGCTCAACATTTGAGAGTTTCATGCTTTCAATTATGAAAAGGGAAAACACAAATACAAGGATGATTCTACAAAAACTACACACACATGCTTAAGCAATCTTGTAAGTAATTCCATACGCCTTCTTATTACGTTTTACATGAGCATATATAGTTACGACAGAGGCCAATAGGCCAATCAAACAAACTGCTTACAAATAAGCACTGGGCCAGAAGGCCTTACTCGGAGCTTTTCAAATTATCTATTAACACCCAACCCCTTTCTCTGTGCACACAGCTTCAAAATTTTATTGCAATTTTTATTAGAGGACAATCCATTGAATTTTACAATATCCCAAACCTGGTCAACAACTGGATTAGAAAATACTATTAATTACTTGAATACAAAATTCAACAACCCTTTAACATGATATGATGGGGAAAATAAAAAATAAATAAAATTGGTGAATTAGTCAAGTCAATACAAAAGATTGCAACTTGCGATTTGTATGCTATATATTGTGCTTCCCGATTTCCATCAATATTTTTTTTTTAAATCAAATCAACTGAAACTATTAGTTAAAATAGAAAATTAGAGCAACAGTTCTAGAACTTTGATCCAATTGGATTTTTAGTTTTTGAACTAAAATTCCTCGAGTATTGGTCTATGAGTAGTGATAATGTGGACCAATAGTCATGTTGGTTAACTCTGTAACAACTTTCATCTATTTTTTGTCTTTTTAATCTTTTATTTTGGATGGAAGTTCTATCAGATTTAGCTAAAAAGACAATTGATCTATATTATAACAAGTTTAGGGAACAATACTAACAAAATTTTAGTTTAGAGACCAAAACTCTAATTGAGCTACAATTCAAAGACTATAGCTCCAATAACCTCTAGTTAAAAAATAGGAGAATTTTCGAACGACATGTAATGTACATAGGGGTAGACGCATTAAGGGGCAAGAGGGGTCAACTAACCCTACGGACTTCGATGAATCTCCATGAATAACTTGAGTACTGCCCCTTTGAAGGTTGGAGTTGCCCTTTATACATGCCCTCCAATTGCCTGATAAATGCCTCAAAGAGGAGTTGCCCTTTTTTCCATATTTTATGTGTTTACCTTTACTATTCATCTTAAATTTGATTCTTTTACTTTAACTAGCACAATGAAATTTTTTTTGTTCTGCATTAATAGTGGAGAGTTTCGAGGGATTCATAGTTATAAAGATCAAGAAGTTTCAATAGGAAGCAAAAAATGGACCAAAAAGCTTGATTTCATGGATGAAATATCTGTTTCCAACATTTTGTGTTGGAAGGAAGCATTCAAATGTCCAGCTGGTTAAAAGGCTTGACTATTCCAGTTTATTAGGCTTAGGCATTAACTTAAAAAATGGGAGGTGAGATCTTCATATGATACTTGTCACATCCCGACCCGAGCCCCCACCACATCCCAAGCTCAACTCCACCGTAACACGATATTGTCCGCTTTAGGCCCCTACCACACCTTCATGGTTTTGTTTCTGGGAACTCACACGAAAACTTCCCAGTGGGTCACCCATCCTGGGATTGCTCTCGCTCGAACTCGCTTAACTTCGGAGTTTCGATGGAACCCGGAGCCAGTGAGCTCCCAAAAGGCCTCGCATTAGGTAGAGATAGGAATATACATATAAGGCTTACAAGATCCATTCCCTTGGGCAATGTGGGATCTTACAATTCACCCCCCCTTAGGGGCCCAACGTCCTCATCGGCACACATCCGGCCAAGGATTAGCTCTAATACCAAGTTGAGACATCCCTGGCTCGACTCCGCCGTAGCACGATATTGTCCGCTTTGGGCCCCTACCACACCCTCACGGTTTTGTTTCTAGGAACTCACACGAGAATTTCCCAATGGGTCATCCATCCTGGGATTGCTCTCGCGCGAACTCACTTAACTTCGGAGTTCCGATGGAACCCGAAGCTAGTGAGCTCCCAAAAGGCCTCACGTTAGGTAGAGATGAGAATATACATATAAGGCTTACAGGATCCACTCCCCTTGGCGATGTGGGATCTTACAATACTATATCAATCTTATTGTTATTTCAATTGTGTGTTTATGGAAAAGACAATGAGAAGAAAAAAAACACGTGTTATATGCTCTATTTTTCTATTCTTAGGTCATCTCCAACCGACCCAGCCAAAAGATTATAAGGCTAAAAATACTCCGTTTTGACACGAAAACCATCTCCAAAAATCTCAAAATAGGCTAGTGGGCTAGCCAAGATCAGCCAACCAGCTAGTCCTCCTCTTGTTTCTCAGCAACCAAACAGACTAAAATTGGCTCCACCACTCTAGAATACCATCAGGTATTTTCTTTTTCTTTCTTTCAAATTAACCTCCTTTATAATTCTTTTTCTTTTTCCTTCCAAGTCTCAAGTTCATCCATGCTACTGTGCGTTATCCTTTTTCTTTTTCCTTCCAAGTCTCAGTTGGTGATTCAATGGAGAAGCTCTTTTCTTGTTGCAGCATAACAAAGCAAGCTTTTTCCCTTTTTTGTGATTTGAGATTGAGAAGGCAAATAGGGAGAAAGGAGAAATAGAGGGAGAGGGACGAAAGCTAGTTCAGGAAGAAAAAGAAGGAGATGGACGAAGAAAAATAGGAAGGAAAGGTTCTTCCTTTTTCGTGATTTGAAATCGAGAAGGCAAAGAGGGAGAAGGATGGAAACTAGTCCAGGAAGAAAAAGAGGGAGGTGGACAAGAAAACTAGGAAGAAGTGGTGTTCTAGAATGAATAGAAAAACATAAGTATTAATAAAATATTAATAAATATGACTTTAATATAATATTTGAATTTGTTACTATTTTTTTTTTTTTAGTCCGACACTGCATCAAACGCTTCACTAAATCAGATTAGCTTAGTTCCAAGACCAGTCCAGTCTGACCTAATCCGATACAACAAACGCATCTTAAAAGTGTTTCTAATAATATTTGGAAGAAAAAAAGTTAAAAGTGGTCTTGTGCCAAAAGCACTTAAGTGCTTTTAGAAGAAAAAAAAACATTGCATTTTGATTAAAATATCGTGCATTTTGATTAAAATATTGACGTGCTTCGAAGAAAACCGCTTTTGAAAAACTAAATACCTCAAAACAATGGTTATACAAACAATATTTGATTATACCAACTCCAATGCTTCGACCCAAACTCAAATATTTAGGTTACTATAAAAGACAGAAATTTAGCTCTATGAACAATGACTATCATCCAATGCTTGTAGCTTTTAAATTTAAGTTATAGTTTTAAAATTTAAATTGTTGTAGTTTTTAAATTTAAAATAATAAATTATGTTTGGCCATTTGGCCTCTCGGTTGGATATAGTTTTTTGTCGAAGGATTATGTTTGGCATATGACCCTCTAGTCCCTAAGTGAGTTGGGATGATAAAAAACATGGTCTGACACTATTCATTAAAATATTAATTTTTTGGATGGCTATAGGACTAAAACGAGCTCTCTGGCCCTCATTCGATTGAAGATGACCTTAGCAATTGAACTTGAGCCATCAAACTTAGCTCTTGTGTTGTGTGGGGGAAGATTCACCAAAGGGCATGAGCGGTCTGAACATATATAAAATCTTAATTTTTACCAAATTTCAACCCAAATTCCAAATCTTTAAAATTCTAATTTTTCTTTTATATTGATAATGAAGCAAAAATACAACATTTTCAAGTATGAAATCGAGTAGTGAACAATTGTCTCTTTGTTATGAACAATTGTAGTTTGTAATTATTTATTTCATGAATTATGACCGATGGGTTATGATTTAATTTATAAGGCTATTTATTTGTCAAAAGAATATTTATGAATTTTTTGACATGAACTCCAAATAATTTTTCTCGGATCCGCTGCTGATCTGGTTGTACACCAACTCTTGATGCCGCCCCAAGTCACTATAGTGGGGGCATGATGGCACAGAGCGTTTTGACTGTCGTTTACGGATGCAGACTTAGCAATTTTCTTTGAAGTTTGGTAGCGGGTTGTCCTGGTATTTCCTCCAAAACGTCGACTATGTTAAGACAAATTTTCATTCTTTATTTTATTTTAAATTAATTTAAATTACTGAAAGAGGAATAAAAAAAGGAATTAAAATTCCCTACATTTTTTCCCACTTGTTTTGATTAAACAACTGTTCTATTCAGGTTTTACTTTCGTACCTTTCTTCATCACCATTTAACTTTTTAATCTCCAATTCTAATTTTTTAAGGATAAGCTTAAAGGATTACTCTATGTCCATTTTTGAAAAATACATTTTTGGTTCGAATGAACTTACTGTGTGCGAGAAGGCTAGGTGACCACTTATTAGGAAAACTTATAACATGGTAATGAAATCTCAACATGCAATATAATTAATTGTTGTGTTATAAAGTTAAATGATGAAATTTTCTTTGAAATATAATATTAGTGTATAACTCATACATGACTAGATAATTACAAAATGTGACAATAATATTCTAGCGTCACACTAATAATTTTTACTAAACCATGATTGCTAGGTTGGAAGGCTATCCATAATGGTTGTAAATAAATTATTCATTTTGTTAATTAAACAGATTTCTTCTCTTTTGTTAGCTTAATCCTTTGATAAGTAATATAAGACTTATCACATATTTACAACACATTTTAATATCAAGTAGGCAAGCATACAATATATTGACCACATTTAATGAGATAAACTCAACATTTAATTGCAATAAAATAATTGTTACATGTGCCATGTTCACATAAAAATGTAGTACGACTAGCATTTTTTCTGGTCTAAATTCTCACTTAAAAATGAAAATCACTAGTCGCTCTTCACAAGTTGCTACTTAGTACTACATTTTAATAGTATTCTTCTTCACTTGTAAGTGAGAGGTCATAAGTTTGATTCTCGTCAAATGCGAATTTAAACACATTTGCTCACCCATTATGAAGCTTAACCAACTTCTCATCCTTTAATGTAAATATATCGTTTCTTCAAAAAGAAAAAAAATGAAAATGACAAGTTGCTTAGCAGAGAAGTATGAAAATGAAACGAACAAGAGATTTCCATTTTTAGGCAAAAAAAAAAAAAAAATCAGAATGAATTGTCTGGCATGAGTAAAATAGGTTTAAAGTTTTTAACTATGAACTAATAATAAATTTGTTACTTTTTTTATAATATGAAGCAAATAGATTAGTTGGGACTTAACACGTAAAATATAATTATACAAAAAGAAAGGGAAACAAGTATCAGTGGGGCCTACATTAGCTAGTAAAAGACAATATCCTCTTTTGACAAATCTCACTGTGGGCCGTACGATTATTCGATCTAAACGGTTCTGCACACGATATCGTCCGTCTGTTGACCGTAACCGAAAGTCATTTAATTTACGTGTAGACGACAGTAATTGGTTGTCCGTTGCAATGTACATTGAGATGGTCATTTACGATCAATGGTGGGTAAATCGGCTCGGCAGTCGGTAATTTTTATAATGTCAAAAACAAAATATCAGTGGGCCCCACATACTTTCTTATTCTACCCTCACACCCCAAACTTTCTACATACACCCTACATTCTTCACATATATTCAACACTCTCTCATTGTTCATTCTCACCACACCTCCAAATTTCAAGACTCTCGGTAAATATGTAAATGCTAATTATGAGGTCGACTACATGACATTCGATTGTTGGTTTATTTTACTGATAGAGCACAAATCCAAAATTTGTATCCCTCTTTGTTACTCCTCTAGAGTCAATTTCACAAAATTTTGACCCAAAAAAGAATGATAGGACCTAGGTGAATTTTTTTTTTTCAAAATTATAAAAGGAAGATTATAATGGTTCAAATTTTTTTTTTTTGTTTGGGTGAACATGGGTTCAATTCTTTTTACTATACAAAACTTAAAAGAAAGTAGCGCCAACTGCCAAACTTACCACTTAGAGGAAAATTTGTTTATATTATAATGGATTTATTATTTTTTTGAGAAATCGAAAATTTGTTTTGGAGTAGTTATAGATTTTGATAACAAAAAAATGTTGTAGTTCTTACAAAATCCATAATGAAGTATGTCTGGTTACGAATCCGTAACATTTTTTTAATTTTTAGGGTTTACGTTTCTATCAATTTGGGGGTGTTAGTCAATTAGGAGTTTTAGGATTTTAGGGTTCAGGTTTAGACAACCAATTTAGAGTTAGGGTTCATATTAGTAAATAATTTGTGTATTCAATTTCTTTTAAATTTTTAGGGGATACATGAATGATTTAATAATACATATTTATGTGAGGTGCATATAAAAAAACCCTTTATCTTTTCATATAGCTTGGTAACACATTAGGTAATAATGGATTTTTAACTTCTGAATCAAATGATTTGTCAAAATTGAGTCGGTGATCTCAAAAAATACTTATGTGGAAGTTCAAACAATACTGCTAGTGTGCTGAGAAATGAAATAGTTAACATTTTACATATCCGAAATAAAACTACAATTGGTAAATACCTCGACATTCATAATATAGTTTTCTGGAAGGATCCGCTGAATTCCAAAGATTTAATTTAAAAGTTAAACCGAAACATGCGGTGAGGAAAGTAAAAACTTTATCTAGGGTGGGAAAATTAAGAATTTGATTCAAGAAATCAATAGAGAGAGTGCAAAAATATCGTGTTTCAGACCCATAGTCAGAACTTTTCCAGGTAATCCCTGAGAAGGATACCTGTGTTGTTCATAAAATTTGTGCTATTCCTTTGCCTTTACCTGAGCAAGAAAGATGATGCCTGTGTTTGGGGCCCTAATGCCAATGAGAAATTTTCAGCTGTAATCGAGGTTTCTCTTTATAAAGTTACACGTTAAGGAAAAAAATAATATCTCCAACGAAAACCGGAGCCGGCGTTAAGCATATTGCGTGGGGCCCTCCATACCACCCATCAAATTGGTCAAATGGGCTCTCCCCACGCTCGATTTCGTCCAAAAACAACGCGGTCGCTTCTCATTTCTCCCAAATCGAGCAAAACCCACTAGACTCTGTCTCTCTGAGCTGAGAGCCCATCCGAACGACGACTCTCTGATCGTTCCAATGGACGGTTTCGATCGCCTCCCCGACTCGCTCATCCTCCAGATCTTCGACTCGGTCTCCGACATCAAGACCCTCATCCGCTGCCGCGCCGTTTCCAAGCGATTCAACTCGCTCGTCCCCCACACAGACTCGCTCATCCTAACCGTCGACCGCGTCATATCCTCCGATTCAGACTGCGACTCGGAAAGCGACGACGTTTCGCACCTCCTCGTCGCCTTCCTCAAATCCATCCTCAAATCGCTCCAGGACCTAGTCTCGGCCAAGCCCGACCCCACCCAGACCCGCTCTCAGAATTCCCCCGCCCAGATCCTCCGCTCCTTCCACCGCGTCCGAAGCCTCTCGATCGAGCTCCCGTCGGGCGATCTCCGGTTAGAGAAGGGGACGGTGCTGAAATGGCGAGCTGAATTCGGGAAAACTCTGAAGACGTGCGTGATCCTAGGGTTCCGATCCGTCGTCGCCAGCGGGGACAATCCTGTGGCCGGAGAGGAAGCGGACTTCGCCGGAGGTCTGAAGGTGAGGGTGGTGTGGACGATTAGCGCGCTGATCGCGGCGTCGGCGAGGCACTACCTGCTGAAGGAGGTGGTGAGGGAGCAGAGAGGGCTGGAATCGCTGGTTCTGAGGGACAGAGAAGGAGAAGGCACGGTGGTGATGAGGAAGGAGGGGCTGAGAGAGTGCAGGAGGGAGGACGCGTGTGGGGAGGCGGAGGAGGTGGAGGAGGAAGAGGGATGGGATAGAGGGAGGAGCAAGGTGCCGAGCGTGAGGATGAGGATGAGGCACGTAGCGAGGGTGGAGCTGAAGGGCCGGGTATGGGTGGAGGGGGCCACACTTGTTGTGGTGAGGCCGAGTTTGGGGGATGACGTGGAGGATGGGGATTTGGCGATGGAGGCGTTTGGGAATGATGGGATGTACGGGGAGGTTGTAGTGGAGCTGCTCAAGGCCAAGAGTTATTTACTGGAAATGAACTCTTTTTAGTTAACCATGGTAAATGGTAAATGGTAAAAATGTATTTGCTTTTACTTCACTTGTTTTTTGTACATTCTCTCTGTATTTCGTGTTGCCATGATTTTCTGACTTTGTACCTGCTAAATATTATGAGGGAATGAAACCCTGTTTTTTTGTTGTTAAATTCCGAACTATTAACGGAGCTGCTATTACAACGAGATAATTCACTCATAACAAAATTACGTCGCTGACGCTCTATTTGACATATTATTTCCAGTTTCAATAGAATTTATTAGCTAGTTTTATTGTCAAACCAAATTTATTTGACAATGAGTAACATTTGAACGATGATCGCTTGCAGGAGACGTGAGTTAGGTTAGTTTGCGTACACATTGTCATTATCCGAAAACCCCAAACACCGGAAAGTCTTCATCTTCTGTTCCCAGGTCTCCACTTTCATCCGACTCATGGCCTGAATTATATATATGTAGCTTCCGGAGTTCCTACCACACCTAATCTCATCAACCCTTTTAACAAATTCCATAATCTTTTCCTTCTTAAACAGAACAAATCTCCGAAAGTGGAACATAATTTTGGAAATGCGATTTAGAGCTTATACCCAAACTCTTTAGAAACTCAAAAATGGACATCAAAATCTTCACCACATCATGTCTGAGATACCACCCATAAAACATCAATTTCTTAGAACCGAAAAATCTCCTCAACACCAGAAGAGAAAGGGCAATCCAACGATGGGTGCTTCGCCATAAAAACTCCAGGGATCATGGCATGTAATTTCGGCAATGTCAGAGATTTCGAAAAGCCATAACCTTGATCTTGGGTTTTATGGCTTTGTCAAGATGGGAGTGCAGGACGGGATAGTCTGTTTCCGTGGATGAACATTGCCCATGAACCCTACAATTTCGAGCCCATTGCCACTAAATCACCACCACCGAGTAAAAATGGCGCGTGTTGTTGCACTAGGTACCTTTGTGCCTCTTTCCTTCTCGTCGACAACTCCACTTGCACCTCTCGCCTAGTACACCACCGTCGAACTTGAATATCTCCAGAAATGTTGTCCTTTCTTCCCACTGACGGCTCTTGTTGCACCTTCCTCCCTTCCATGCTTAGCATCAACGACCTTGTTCGTCTCCTTTGCCATTGGTGTATGACAGGGACCAATCAGTAAGGAGGCAAATCGAAAGAAGAAAGAGGAAAAGGTAAAAGAAAAACATTTTGATTTCATTCATACTTTCCAATTTGAAGAGATCTTTTGTCTCAAGTGGTCAGTGGTCGGGACCTATATTATCAGTCAATTCTAGGACTCCTCTTCAAACATTCATGTTGCCTTGACAAAGCATCAGCTACGGCATTCGCGGAACTTGGACGGTACTCAAGAGTATAATTATAGCCGGACAATTTAAGAAGCCATTTTTGTTGAGTAGGCGTGGAGATGCGATGATTGAGAAAATGTTTCAAGGTTTGGTGGTCCGTAAGAATCTTGAAGGATGCCCGAGTAGGTAGGGTCGCCATTTCTGGATAGCAAAGGCGATGGCCATCATTTCTTTACCATAAATGGATAGAGTCTTATGTTTGTAGAATAGTGACTTGCTCAAGAAGGCGATTGGATGATGGTCTTGAGAAGGCCCAGCACCAATGCCCATGTTGGAGGCATCACACTGCAATGTAAATGGCTTAGAAAAGTCTGGAAGGGCCAAGACAGAGGTAAAAGAGAGAACCTGCTTAGGAGCCACAAATGCTTAGGTCGCTGCTGGAGTTCGTTTGAAGTTATCCATTTTCAGAAGATCAACTAAAGGTCGAGCGAGAAGACCAAAGTTACGCACAAATTTCCAATTATAGTCGGCTAGACCCAAGAATCCACGTAAGGCTTTGAGTGTACACAGTTGAGGCCACTCCATGATACATTGCGCTTTTCTGAGAATCAACGATGACACCCTCTGCAAAAATTATATGACCAAGGTACGCCACAGTGGGTTGTCCAAATGAGCATTTAGACGCCTTTACCTTTAATTCATTCGCTCGCAGAACATCAAAGACAAATGTCAAATGATTAAGATGGGTAGGTAAATCTGGGCTGAAGATGAGTATATCATCGAAAAAAATCGGGACAAACTTACGTAAAAATGGCTTGAAGATGGAGTTCATTAATTCGTGCCTGAAATGTGGAATGGCCATGCAAAGTCCAAAAGGTATGACCATAAATGTAGCAGGGAGTTAATATCCAACAGGGAAGAGGCGGAAGTTGTGGAAGACAAGGTGGAAGGAGGATCAGATGATTGGAGTCACACCAAGCAATAATTATGGCCCTCAATTTAGAGCTCCATTGCCTTGTTTTTGAAGTGCCATCTAATGAAACCCAAGGTTTCTAACCAATCGGCCTCGAGAACCAAATCACAGCCCATTACCGATAGAAGGTATCAGAAGAAAACTTATACCCCTATAGTAGAGACAACCATTAACCACAGCCACCGGTTTAACGAAGGAACGATTAATGCAGAGGCTAAGATGAATCGCTACAAAGGGGTTGAGAAAATTGTGGTCAGTGCCGAAATCCAAAAATACCTAAATAAGTAAGGTGTCAATGTAACCAACAAGGCGCATAGCACGTCCTTACGTGCGTTTGGGAAAGGTCAGAGCGTTGAGAGTGATTGAGACGATCTCGTTTACCAAGGGCTAGTTCGGTGCCCATAGGAAATCATCAAGAGTCAGGTCAGAGGCAACTTCAGAGACTGATGTCGCATTAATAATAACAGAAGAGAGGTCACACAAGTATGGCCAGAAAAGTATTTCTCTGGGCAATATAGGCATTGGCCTCGAGAACGACGCTCACAGATCTCTGCCGAAAATAGGCGCAGGGGTGCTCGAGCCAACTTAGAATGAGGAATAGGAGCGATGTGCGACAATTGTGAAAGGGAAGTTTTAGAAGGATGAGGAGGGTAAAGGCAAAAAGTGCTTCGTCGACGTTGCTATTTATGATCATAGATGCGTGCAAGTTCAATGGCACGAGTCAATAAACGAGGGCTTTGGGCTAAAACATCATCCTGGAGTTCCATCCTAAGCCCACTAAGAAACACCCTTAAGAGTTGTGCATCACTCTAACCCTGGGCCCGGCAAGACAAGCAAATGAAGTCGTTAATGTAGACCTTGAGAGGTCAATTTTGGTAAACATGAGAGAAATACATGTTGAAGTTCAATTGGTCACCTGACGCAAATCGTTGTAGAAGACATTTTGTGAAAGTGGCCTATAACGCAGACCCAACATGCAACTTGTACCACTGAAACCACAAAACCGCACCGTCCATAAAATGAAGATCGGCAATAGTGACTCAATTGTTAGTGTTAACCCTATGGTAGTCTAAATATTCCTATGCCAACATCAACCATTTATATGGATCGTCACTGAAAAATTGGGGTAACTTGATTTTCATGTATTTAGGACATGTGGATGTGGGAGGTAGCTAATTAAGATGAAACGATGTGGGTGGTGGGTGGGGGTGAAGGGTGGTGGTGGATATCGAGAGTTGCGGTGACGCCTGCTAGTAGCTTGTAACTGATGGCAGGGAGTAAGGTATGGGTGAAAATCTCGAAAACTAAGAGCCCCATGCAAGAGGAAGGATTGTGGAATGGCCATCGGTCCAATCGGAATCTAGAGGGAGCCGATCAGAATTTAGGAAACCTAGGTGTGCAGCGGTGGCGACGAACCGGACAAACGGAGTTCCTCCATCAAATGGGATTGAGCGAGGCTAATGTTTGCCGAGGAATCTTGGATGTCCGTCAGATGAGACTAAAAAGTTTCCTGACGAGTGGCTAACAGGGAGACAAAATCATGAAATCCATTAAGTTGCCCAAGAATTTGGTGTTGTTGGTTTTCCAACTCCAAGTCAGCCTCCGTGACGTCGCCCACTACCACGGAGGCCTTGCTCTTGCCCATAGAAGAAACACCTAGCTCTAGATACCAACTGATAGGGACCAATCGATGAGGAAGAAAATCGAAAAAAGAAAGAGGAAAAAGTAAAAGACTAAAACATTTTGATTTCATTCATACTTTCTCAAATCGTGAAAGTTGGTACTTATACAACCCTAGGGTAAGAGTGTGGATGCTTAAACGACATCACCATTCTCAGATCATTAGATGAAGCCAACATTTTAACAATTCAAAGGACCATATTACCATCAGATAAACCCCTAACTACCTAATAAAGCAGAGTCATAAACATCACATGACCGCGCCATTTGCACTATACGAAAACCAACCATAGCAAATAATAAAGGGAGCATTAATGAAAAGGGCTTGGGCTAAGTTTATTTTAACCAAAAATCATACTATAACTTTATTCAGACCGTTGAATAAAGCCAACATTTTAACAATTCAAAGCACCATATTACCATAAGATAAACCCCTCACTACCTAATAAACCAGAGTCCTAACAGTGTAAACATCATATGACCGCGCCATTTGCTCTATACCAAAACCAACTATAGCAAATAATAAAGGGATCTTTCATGAAAAGGGCTTGAGCTAAGTTTATTTTAACCAAAAATCATACTATAAATTTAATGAAAAGAATTAAATATTAATGAAAAACTCTTAAATTTTAATAAAAATGAAAAAAGAATTAAAATTTTAATGAAAAAAAGACTATTTTAATATAAAAAGGTTAAAAAACAAATCTGACGCGCGAGACCGATGTGTCCATCACAGACATTGTTAAAACTAAACACTATTTATGAAATTGAACAATATTACATTAGTTCTTGGTCCACTTTCATAAATAATGCCTTAGTTCTTGGTCCACTTTCATAAATAATGCATAGTTCTTGGTTCACTTTCATAAATAGTACCTAGTTATTGGTCATATTTCATAAATAGTACTTAGTTATTGGGTCTAGTTTCATAAATAGTGACTCTTTCTAGGTCCAATTTCATAAATAGTCTTAGTTATTAGTCACTTTCATAAATAGTGCTTAGTTCATTGTCATGTTTCATAAAGAGTGTCTAGTTTTTTATTTAGTTTCATAAATAATAATTCAATTTGAAGTTTTTTTTCTTATTCTAAGCAAAAAAAAAAAAAAAAAAAAAAAAAATTCTATTAATGATAACTAACAACGGGAGAAAAAAGAGTCTGGAGGGAGACAAGGATCCTCTCTGGATCAGTTTTCTGCTGATCCTCAAGATCAATTAATCTTAGATGCTGAAATTATATCTTGCGGTCATGAACAAAACAAGACACCAACCATATTTCTCACTGTTTCACATCCCTAAATTCTCTCATCCTTCTTCCCTGCGGTGCTTTACAGCAAGAGGATTAGATTAGGGATGGGCAAAATACCCATTGGTTTAGGTAACTGCAATTACCCACCTACTTAAAGTTTACGGTTACGGTTATGAGTAACCGTTTAGATGAACAAACGGTTATGAGTATAACTGTTTATCCGTGAAATTTAAATGGGCGCTTATGGGTATTACCCATGGTTATCACATGTATCTATCGGTTATGAGTATTAACTGCGATTATAATGTGTATCCATTTACCCATTTAATTTAATATATGTAAAATTAAAAAAAAAAATTAAAAACCCTAAATTTTTCGATTACAGATGAGTCATGAGTTTTCTTGAAGCATAAGTCCAAGCCATGATGCCCTCTTTGACATACGCCCAAACCTTCACAAATTGAAACTTTCAGTTTATAAACGCTTATGGTTAAATGGGTAAACGGTTATGGTTAAATAGGTGCACGGTTATGGGTACAAGTATAACCATTTATGCAATTACCCAACATGTAAACGTTTATGCGGATATGAACATAAATGGTTATAACTAAATAACCGGCCATAACCGTTGCCTATCCCTAGACTGGATGATTTTTTGTAATGGTGTTCGTCTATCTGCTCCCATCTCCACCTTGGTCTCGTCTGAGTCCTCTTCCTTTCCAACCAATAGTTTCATTAATTTCATAATTTTATATGTTTCATGGGAAAATATTAAAACCAAATTTCTTCGCAAGGGTTGGGGAAACGGTGCAGGCGATGCGAGTGGGTGGGGGGAGGGAGGCCGGGATGATGGTATATGTTTTTTATGTTTTTTTTTTTTTTTTTTTGACTTTTTATTCTTTTGTTCTTATTATTAAATAAAATTAGAGTTAAACGATTTTTTTATTAAAATGCAAATATTTGAAGCATTTTTTCATTAGTTTTCTTTTTAGTCTAGCCTTACTTCTATTTTTTTACTAGCATGTATAATCTATAAAAAAAAAAAATATTTAAATCCATGTAACTTTTTTTACACTCAACTTAAATTTTAAATGTTAATTATCTATTTTAGCCTATTGTGTAATTACTATTAAGTACAAAATAAAATTAATAATAAAACTCATATTTATCAAACCCACACACTATAACTAAACCCTTGCATCACCTTTTGTTTATCATACGTTCATTCCGGCTAAAACCCTAATAGCTCTGACAGAGAAAAACAAGCTTTTCTATTGATGGATGGTGATTTTGAAGTTTTAAATCCTTCAACTAAGGTATGACTCAATTTATGAATATTTTGTTCATTTGTTTCTCCTTTGAGCCAAATTTCATACTTTTTATATTAAATTATATTTGTTTTTCCTTGTCGGTGTCTATCTGTGCACCAAAACACCATTGCAAGAACTTTTGATTAATATTGCAAAGACATATAACTTGATTATTGGTGCAGATAAAGATTGCCCAACCTCATCAACCTTAACCACTAACTAGCGGGTGGCATCTGCTCATGAGATTTTTTTCTTTCTTTGAGATTCTTTTCGAGATGAAAACGCAATATAAAAGGAAACTATACTACTTTGTGATGATTGGAAAAATGCAAAATTGTTCTTTCAATTTTTCGACTTATACAAGAATTTTTAGTTTACCTATAACACAATGCAGCACATTGCAAGGACTTGCAGACTTGCAGACATTGCAAGGACCTTAATAATCTTTACACCTTAACATTGGACCACGACCTAAATTGTTGCTAACATTTTAAAATTACTACTTTTATGTATTACAACAGTAGTATGATTACTACTGACGAAGTATATGGGATGACAGAGTTCATCTTTACTTTAGCAAATGAATGTGTCGTCACAAAGTATTAGCTATGAGATAGGTGGACAGTTTACGAAAGACATTATTTATTCGTCAGCATCAGCTGACTCGAACTTGGCCAGAAACACAGCAAGCCTCGTAAATGGAAAAATTTCAAAGAAAACTGCTTACCAATGTTCTTAGATTATAAATTTGCTTACTTATTGTTAAATGAAATGGATCAATTGTTTGATTTATTGCTTATGCGCATTAGCATAAAGAAAAAAAAAAAAAACAAATGTTTGGGTTTGGTAGCAGAGGGAAAAAAAAAAAAAAAACGGCCATGGAAATGCAAAGGACACCTTTTTGAAAAAAAAATATATTCAATTAGAGATGTTATTTTATAAAAGAATGAGTGTAAACATAACTTTACATTTTGAATTAGGTTTGAAATAAGAATTTAGGTAATAAAATTGGGTTTAAAGAGATATTAATTCTTTAATAAAAATCAATATAAGTAAAGAAAGTAAGTTGGAGTAGAAAAAGATTACAAAAATCAGGATTTAGGGTTTAGGAACACGAAGAGTATGGGCCAAATTTATACAGGAAGAACGAAACCCTAACAAGCGGGAGTTGGCCAGGGACACAGAGCATACTTCTTGGCATCACCACTTGGTACGAATCCCAGGCAAGTTTATATTTCAATTCCAACTTCTCCGTATTTCATATGCAAATCACTTCTAAAATCCCCCAAAATATGATAACCCAGATTAACAAAAAGCTAATCTTACTCTCACTAACCTCAGTTGAGCTACACAAACCCCCTCTCTGCCACTCAATCTCACTCTTGTTCTACTCTTCCTCCCGACTCGAAAAGCCGAAATCAAAATCCAAAATATCTGTATCTGAATACTTAATCACCCAGCATCAGTTTTCCCCAGAAGCCGCTTTGAAAGCCGCATCAACAATCGCTTTTCTGAAAAGCCCTGCAGATTCTAGTTCGGTGATTTCGTTTCTCAGAGAAAGCGGCTTCTCGAAGACCCATATGGAAGATGTGATTAAAAGGGTCCCCAGGATTCTAACTTCCAATCTTGACACTGTCCTCAAACCCAAATTCAAGGTCTTCCAGGACTTGGGCTTTTCGGATTCCGACATTGTTGATATTGTGTCCTCTGACCCCTGGATTCTGTGGCGAAGTGCCGATAATAGGCTTGCCCCTGCTCTGTTGGTGCTGAAGAAGATTCTCGGATCGAATGCTCGTGTGCTCAAGGCTTTAAAGTTGCCCGGGTGGTTTCTTAAATATGACTTGGAGAAGACAATGATGTCCAATGTTGAGGTCTTACAGAGTTATGGTATAAAATCGCCACAAATTATCAAATACATTTTTCAGTTTCCAAGGTTTTTTGTGCATAAGCCGGAGAGTATTGTGGAAGTTGTTAAAAGGGTTGACGAGATGGGTTTTGATATGAAGTCCAAGAGGTTCCTATCAGCAATTCGGATCATGACTTCGCTGACTGTGGATACATGGGAACGGAAGGTGAAGCTTTTCAAGAGTTTGGGGCTTTCAGAAGATGATATCTCGGCGGTTTTTAGGAGGGTACCTCAGGTGTTTGCGGTATCTGAGAACAAGATTAAGGAGGTTACAGAATTGCTACTCAGCACTGGCAAGTTTGATATCTCGTTTATAGTTAATCGCCCAGAATTGCTTATTTATAGTGTCGAGCACAGGCTGAAACCACGTTTACGAGTTATGGAGATCCTCGAAAAGAAAAAACTACTTGGTAAAAAACATAATTTGATCACAATCTGCAAATACTCTAAACAGAAGTTTGCTGAGTTATATGTTATTCCTTATGCAAATGAACTTGAAGGAAGAGTGCATGAAGGGAAATCATGATCTCCTGATTGTTACTGAGGTATTTTCTTTTGTGTACTTCTGTTTCTTTCTGTCGGTCTTTCTAAGAAAATTGTTACTTTTCAATTCATGTTTCTGTCGGTCTTTCTAAGAAAATTGTTACTTTTCAATTCATGTTATTGTCGATGTGTTATACCTGCTTCATTTATTAAATTTTTGAACTTCGAATGCGATAGAAGGATGACCCGCATTTCTGAAATTCTTTAAAATTTGAATGCAATATAAAGGAGTGATCATCGGACAAGTAATGATATTTGCTGCTCGAAAGTTATGCTTAGTGCTCTTTTAGGCTTTAGGTTACCAGTATCTTGAACTAAGGTTATCAGTTTCTGCTGTGTGTTTGACTCTTACGGTTGCATATGTTCCTACTTTGGTCTTCCTTGGTTGTATATTAGTGATCGTGACAAATAAATTGGTTTCCCAGATGGCTAGGTATTAACTCTTTATTGCATTGCAGTCTACAAACTTTTTGTTTAACATTATGATCTCTAACCAGATACAGGTAGTTTCATTGGGTTCATCTATCTGAGAGTGAATATTGAATTTCACTCCTATGACGTTGATAGGAGATGATTTGGGGTTAAGCGCATGTCTCTATTTAGAACCATTTGGGTCTGTCGTTTGCCTCATTTGCGCTTCTATGGAAAAATTGACTTGATTGTAGTTATAGGTGTACCTAATGCTGCTGTTAATTCCTCAGGTAATACCATATTGCAGGGCCACAGAAAACTCTGTTTGACACTTGGGAATGAATGTCAAAGCTTATATATTTCTGTACCTCAAAATGAAAAGTGGTAAGGGATGCCAAAGAAAGGGCCCAATTTTTAACCCCTTGGGGTTAGCCCAAGCAGTGAGGGAGGGTAGGATAATGAACTAGGATTAAGATAGGTCATGAGTTCGATTCCCTCCCGTGTATAACCGAATAAGGCAGCCCTCTGAAGAGGGGGTTTTCGGTTGTTCCTTTTCTGATACCAATATAAGGACATGTGAAACTCAACTTTTAGTTAAGAGTCCTAATTGCTTTACTTTTTACCAATATGGTATCCATCTTTACCATTTCAAAGTCAAATCTCCTCTTTAAGCTCATAGACCATCATAACAATTCAAACTGTTTCTATAACTTGAACATTTCGGTGTAAAATAAACATATAGTGTCGATGTTATCTAAAGCGGATGTGCTCCTCCTACGCACCCAAGTTCAAATCCTTGTCACTGTTTCGTTCAACTTTCACGGTTTCACCTGTCTCATTATTTTATAAAAGTTCAATATTAGGGTATAAATCATGTTTACGTTGTGTTTGTGAATGGTAGTGATATAGGAAGAATCATTGTGTTAACGAGAGGGTGACATCATCCACCTCTCACCTCCCACAACTTTAAAAACTCAACTTCTCCATCCATGTTCACTTCACCCCACATGTCTTAAATTCTCAATGATGCATAAGATAAAAAAATAGGTCAACAAACATAGATGTGCTTTCTCCATTATTTTTCGCAAACTTTAGACTTGGGCTAGCTTTGCTTGGCCGGCATGTTTTTTTTTTTTGAACTTTTTTATCTAAACTTAAGGATCAAATGAACCGAAAATTACCCATTAAGTGAGCATGATTAGTAGTAAATGTTGGTTAGTTGATTGGTCAAGTAGTGTGCTCGCTCCCTTGTACTCGAATTCAAACTTGTTCGTAGATTAGAGTGGTTTAGAATATCACATGATACCATGAATATCCATGTGCGCATGGCTTATGAAAATCCAATTCCTAAAGTATGCATTATGTGACACGAAAGTTTCTCTCCCTTCGAAGGGCTTTGGTTTTTGTGCAAAAAAATGTTTGTGTACCAAGCACTAGGACTCTTTATGCAAAAACTATAGGGTAAAGTGTTAATTTAGTCTCTGAATTATCACCAAGTGAAAATTAGGTCCTTAAACTATTTTTTTAGAAAAATCAGTTCTTGAATTATAGAAATATGTCAATTACATCCCTAATATTAGATTTGAAGCTACTATATTTAATTTCCCATCAATTTAAGTCACGTTACTTGCATGAAATACACATTGGATGGTAGATTGATAATTTTTCATAAAAAGATTGTGCATGAAGTTTACTTTGGAGGGTATATTATACGTTAGATTCGTAACCTATATGAAATGTTAAGGGCTTATAGGCGAGAAAATGACGGTATGACACTCTAAAATGTGTCAAGTGACTTTTGTTGACCAAAAATTGGATAAAATAGCTTTGAATATAATAGTAAGGATGAAATTACCAATTTTAATGAATTTAGGGGCTTATTTTACTGAAAAAAATAATTCAGATACTTAATTTTCACTGAGGTGATAGTTTAGGGACTAAATCGGCACTTCACTCAAAACTAGATTATGATTAGATGTGCATCCAAAGATTTTGAACGAGAATTTAAGAAGCGTTTGGTACGTAGATGGGATGAAATAAGACGGAACAAAATAGGTTAGAACGAAGGTTTTGTGTTATGTTAGGTACACACAGGATGGAATTGGATAACTGTTGTATTCTGCGTTTGATAAGCGCAAGGCAAAATGAAACGAAAATATTAAATGACCAAGACTCCCGGAGAATAGGTGCATACTAGAAAATACTGTCACGAAAATCATCCTACTCATTGCAATAGCTTTGACAGCACATCAAACCTCAAAAGTGTTTGTGACTTGCACTTTAAACATATATGGACTATTCACAACTAAGTATTTAACTTATCACAAAAATATATATCATCTATGTCATCCATGCAAGTTCAACTTGAGGAGAGCTACCCTCCTAAAGTCCTCATTTTGGTAACCTGTGACTTCGGTTTTTTATATGAGCTCTCAGATTAATCTTATGATAGCTTAATCTATCAACTTAAATAATTATTGTTACACAGAAACAAAATACTATTGATAAAACAAAAAAGCAAGAAGAGAGAAGAGCGTTTTACTTCATGTCAAATCCCTTCTATCTGCAAAACCTAGTCTCCTGACTGAATATCTAAACCCAACAATCTAATTGCATAAAACCATAATAACTTATGTATCCAATTTCATCCAATCTTTTATCAATAATATTCAAGCTTAGTTACAAAGCACCAAAAAAAATTGAGATTGTTTTCGAAAATTGGCATCCCCTATTTCTCATATGTGTAAACCCTTTTTTCATATGAAATTTTTTGATGACGGTGACAAATATAAAAAAAAGGGTCCCTCTCCCTTTTTCATATGCGAAAAGAAAAAAAAAACAAAAAACTTAAGAGGAGAGAAGGAGAATGAACGATCAAGGAAGAGATGGAGAGAGGAAGGGGATGTGGAGAAGAAGGACAGTGGGGGAAGAAGACGAAAGATTTTATGTAAGAAATTTGTTTTAATTTAATCACATCGAAGAAAACAAAAAACTTAGGAGGAGAGAAGGGGAGTGAACGATCAAGAGAGAGAAGGAGAGAGGAATGAGATGTGGAGGAGAAAGACAGTAGGGAAAGAGGACGAAAGATTTTGTGAGAGAATTTTGTTAATCACATCGAAGAAAACAAAAAAAATTAGGAGGAGAGGAGAGTGAACAATCGAGAGAGAGATGGAGAAAGGAAGGGAATGTGGAGGAGAAAGACGATAGGGAAGAAGAAGAAAGATTTTATGTGAAAATTTTGTTTTAATTTAATCACTTCGAAGAATTGTTGTGTTCCGATGTAACAAGAATTATTTAAGTTAATAACTTAATCTACCATAAGATTAATTTGAGGACTCATATGAAAAAGAACCTCACAGGTCCTCAAATGAGGACCTTAGGAAAGCAATTATGTAAACTTTAGACCTTCTTCAATCAAGTGGAGACAAATATCAATTGACCAGCTTCTATGTACGTTAAGTGGTGCTACATTTTCATATTACTCTCGCCTTGCATCCTGATTACAAAATTTATATACGATTTGAGATCTCTTATGTGTGATTAGTTTAGTGAACTAGTTTTATTGATTGAAGTAAAGTACGTGTGGCAGAGTTGCTTGCTACGAACCTATATTAAAACTCGAGCATCCAATTCAAAATCAATTAACATCAGGTATATTACTCTAAACGTATGCTAAAACTTAAACATCATCCAAGTCAAAATCAACTAGTATGGAATCAATAGAGAGGTACATGATTTTATATTATAGTTGAAGGCTTGGGATTAATGATATGGGATTTTATACTCTATCAATGTGAATCGAAAAGGAAAAGAGAGTAATATAATACATGGATTTGAGTATGAGACCTTTTTCGGCTATACATGCATGGAAGGCCCCAAATAAAAGTAAAGTCTAATCCTAAATTCCTAAGGCAAGTAGTGGTTAGAGGGGGTCATTTTTTTCCACGCTCTCAAGTGCATTGCTATCACTTCATCATCACAACCACACTTTGCCTAATCCCATTCCTCTTTTTTGATGATGAACTCTGCGGATCCCATCCTTTCTTTTCAAGTCTTTTTGCTTTTCACAATCTCTTGGGTTTACTGATTTCAAATCTTCTATATTCATTTTGTGTGCTGCCTATGTGGCTTCTATTATTAATTGACACGTGTTAATTTTATGACAACAATGTTAAGAAGGATCAAGTTTATGAACACATGTTAATCAATGATAAATGCTACAAAGAGGTCACACACAAAATAAATGCAGAAGATTTGAACTCGTGTTTACTAGCTGAATGAAATTCAGTTAAACAATGCCTTGCTCATATTATCAAAGCTCACCAGCCGCCACTACTATCTGGTGTTTGGCTATAGAGAGTTGGAGAGAGAAGGGATAGAAAATTAGAGCATAAAATGTAAGTTTGGTAATGTCTCTCAATACTTTGGAAGATTAAGAAGCAATCTTAACTAAACTTATAAATGTTATTTAATCTTTTTTATTTGAGTGATATTCAATATTTAAACGGTTAAGTATTTTGTTTTAGCTATCTTGGCTACGTGTTTGCAAATGGTTTTAACTTTTGAGTGATATTTTCTTTTCATTTCTACCACCTACCTATGATTTCTTTTCTTTTGACATGGTTATAGAAATATATTTTTCAATTATTCATGAGATATGTTTGTAAATATGTCACATTGTGATTTGCAGGTGAATAAGTGAGAGGAATGAACAGAACAACGTTCTTTCTTTGACTTGACTCTACCATAATGGTAGTTATACCAAGTGATTTTATTAAATGACATATTACTAACTCAATCACTAAGCAATTATTTACACATCCCATCAAAATGAAAGGGTGTGAAATCACTAAGAATGACTTAAGAAGACCTCTCCAACTCTTGTGGGGTTCCATTGAAGATGAAGAGAAGTGGTTTGGTAGTTGTTCACTTGCTTTTGTGGGCACTAGCAATGCAATATAGGGCATGGGTTCACAAGTTGGTGGTATGATTGCATAATTAAACAAGGCTTGTGGCCCTTAACTTTCCCATGCACCTTTCTTAAAAAAAAGTTTGAATATGTTATGGAAGCATAGAGAAAAAGTAAAGGCCACGAAAGAAGCAATGTTTGTGACCCCATTTCAAAGGGTGCAAAAAGTAGTGTTAGAAGGAAAAATACTGGTGATATCGAATATTAATTTACAGTATTTAATACAATTCATAATATTTTTTTTATATTTATTGAAGGAAAAATATTAAATGTTAATAGATATCAATTTAAATGATAGCGAATATCAATTTAAATGTTATCAGATATTAATTTATAGTACTTGAAACAGTTGAATACTTTGTCCATGCTTATTACAATAGGATTGATATTTGGTCTGTGTTTAGTAACATTAATGAATAGTCTCTCAAATGTTGATCATATAGTAAATATTGTAGATTGTTAGTCGATGTAATGTCAATTACTGCAAAAAAAATAATAGGAACTAGGAAAAGAGAAAAAAGCAAAGACAGAGATGTTAAATACATCAAGTAAAGGCAAAAGCAGAGGAAAGCTGTCAAGCTCTCCCTCCTTTCTTTTTTGTTTTTGTTTTAGGAGAAATCCCTCCTTTCTTTTAAAAGCCCATCCAGAACACACATC